ATTCAGCTAAATAATCACTAGTGCTTACTTTGTACTATAGTCCATTAGCAAAAGTTTACTTTAGTGTCTAGGGTTTAGAATAATATCGATCTTGTATAGGTACTAAAATAAGATTTGCTATATGATACTTTAATTTTTTTTAAATATTTTTGATTCAAACATTTTTTTAAAGGATACTCAATGGAATGATTTAGATTATATGAACTCAAGTAACGATTTTACTTACGACCACGAAAACTTTAAAGATTTACCACAATTTGTAAAAGAATTACATGAAAAAGGAATGCATTATGTTCCACTTATTGACCCTGGAATAAGCGCAAGTGAAATTAAAGGAACTTACCCACCTTATGATATTGGAATTGCCATGAATATCTTTATTAAAAACAGTACTGGTCAACCATTCATAGGGAAGGTAACCAAATTTTTTTTTATTATATAAACATAATTATAATAATGAATTTATTTTAGGTTTGGAATCGTGTTAGCACCGTTTGGCCTGACTTTACAAACCCAAAAACAGTTGATTATTGGACGTTAATGTTAAAATCTATGCATGATAAATTTCAATATGATGGTGCTTGGATAGATATGAATGAACCGGCTAATTTCTTATCTGGTTCGGTTAATGGATGTCCAAATTCCGATTTAGAAACACCACCCTATGTTCCTGGAGTCCTTGGAGGACAATTAAATTATAAAACACTTTGTATGACAGCTCAACATTACATTGGGTTACATTACGACGTTCATAATATATACGGATTTTCAGAGGCGATGGTGACAAATTTGTATGTTGTTTAAAAATATGTTTATATAAATATTCAACAAAGATATGTTTAAGATATATTAATTTATTAAAAATTTTTAAAGTGCTTTAGCTGAAATTCGTGGAAAGCGACCTTTTGTTATTTCAAGAGCTAGTTTTCCAGGACTCGGAAAGTTCGCTGGAAGATGGAGTGGAGATGATTATTCGTTATGGCATGATATGAAATATTCAGTTCCACGTAAAATAATTTCAAAATTTGGTTATTCTATAAATAAATTGTTAATATTTTTTAGAAATGTTAAGCTATAGTTTGTTTGGCATTCCTTTAATGGGAAGTGATATTTGTGGATTTAATGGAAACACAACTGTTAGTTTGTGTAATCGATGGGTTCAATTAGGAGCTTTTTATCCATTTTCAAGAAGTCATAACACAGACGATGGAATAGTAAGTTTATTCATTATTAAGTCAAAATCTGTAGTAAAAGTGTAGTTATTTTTTGCTTTCTTATTATTTTTTTTTTTTGATACTCCCTTCTATTCAGCACTATCCTCTTTACTTCCTCAATGTTCCTTCCTCTCTACTAAATTGCACTTTTGATGCTCTCCATCATGACTGCATCTCCCCTTCTCCTATTACCTCCATCATCCTCTTTGGGACCCTCTTACCATCCATAACATCAACCACAACAAGTGTCTATTCTGTATAGTTTTCACTAACGGATCTATTTATAGGACCTTTTCTGACTCTATTTCTTTGTGGTTGTGACTATACACCGTTGGTACCTCTTTCTGCTGTTGTTACTTTGCTTTCTTTTGTGTTTACCCTGCATTGGCCAGGTTTCCGCCCCATATATCAATGTTGGCACATATGCTGCTTTGTCCAGGTGCATCTTTGTTTCTTTACTAAGCTCTTTTTTTATTTATCAATGTTGTGTTAATATTGTAACACACTTTTGTTGCTTTGGACGTTCTGTTTCTTATTTCCTGAACTATTATCCTGTCATTGCTCATTACTGCCCCCAGATATTCCTAGTAATTTACTACCTCTAATCTATTCTGTCCACATCTGATGTTTATGTCTTCTTCCTCGTTGCCAATTTGTTTGCTAATCTTCATTATTTTATTTTGCTTTTGCGTTTATTTCCATTACTGCACTTTTACATTGATGGTCCATTTGTTGATTGCGACCTGCAACTTCCTAGCTATGTCCGCCAGTAATACTATCATCTACATACACAAGACTTTGGCTTACTTCTTCCATTTTCCAGTCCAACATTTTGGTTCATTTTGGTCCAACATTGTTGGTGCGCTCTCCTTACTTTTCTTTAAGATTTAACCAATAACCACATTGAATCGAAGGGGACTAAGGGAGTCTCCCTGTTTGATTCCTTTTTTCATATTGAAGCCTTTTGACTCCATCCCCTTTATTTTGACTATTCCCGCTTTTTTGTCAATGCCCTTTTGATTTTGATCAACTTTAGTTATACTATCGAACCCTGCAGTCAGGTTTAAAAATGCCAGATATATAGGTTTTTCTGATTCTTATCTCATCTGTTTCCTCGTGTGGTGACCGGGGTTGAAGAATAGTCCCAAAGTATATGCGAGCCGTAAGAGGCGACTAAAATGGTAGCCCGGTGTCTGGGGGTATAACTGGGTTGCCCTATCCATGGGATTATAAATAGGAAACCTGGTCCTCCAGGTTGGCGGGAGGCTGACGTCACTGTAAAAAGAAGGCTTTTTGGTAACCGGATATCAGGTCCTAGGCCTGATATCTGAATACTGGATGAATAAATCTGGAAGACTAACATGGCGATGAAATATACTACTCTTTTGGAACGTGGAATATTGCTACGTTTAATAAGCTCAGGAGTAACTAAGTTCCTATTGGAACAGTTAGAAAAGTATAAGCTTAAAATTGTCGCAATGCAAGAAAGCACATGGCTTGGGAAGGGAATTACAGACTTGAATACTCACACCATCTGCTAAAACTGAGGGAATAAAAAAGTTGTGAGTGGCCTTCGTTATAAAAGATGATTTTAGGAAGAAAATTTTTGGATTTTAATCCAATAAGTGAAACAGCTTTCTTTAACATGACACTAATTAACGTGCACGCTGCAACTAACGAAAAACAGGAAGGAATCAAAGAACAATTCTACCTGCAGTTGGAAAAACCATTTGACACAATACCAATAAACGATTCAAAGTTGATAATGGGAGACCTAAACGCGAAAATCAACGAGGAGAAGGAATTCAGAGGAACTAACTAGGAATGAATAGCTAGGACTGCTAGGATAGTAGGAGATCAATGTAAACAAAACCAAGATAATGGTCTAATGATGTAGACACCATATGCATACAATGCATATAAATACAGAATACAATTGGTTGACGGGTTCATATATTTGCGCCATTTGGGATTAATATTATATCAAAAATACAAAGTAATACAAAGAAAATAAAGAAAAAGTATACATTTTATGCAAAGATTACAAGGCAAAGAAAAAAAAAAATAATAATTCCTGAAGAAACATAGAAGTTTTTCACTGAAGCAGTATACTTAAATTGTTACCGCTTGTTTTACATTTTGGAAGCTTTGCAGATATGTTCCTTTCTTGTGTCATAGGAATGGTCTATTTGATTCATTATCTAACTATGTCTGCGTACGTACATCAACTTTCTGACTATATATTTGCCTTGTCTCTAATAACTCATTTGAAGGTGATGTTATATTTTTGTTGTACATTTTTCTTAATATCCATTTCTGTAGTTTATTAATTTTTTCCAAATGAGTATCGTTGACTCCTCCACAACCCAAAACGACGTATGACATAAGAGATTACACAAGGGAGTATTAAACACTTTCAAGTGTCTTTTATCTAGAAACTGCTTCTAAATCTGCTTATTAGTCCTCTGATTTTCTTTACAATGTTATCAGTCTGTAAATTCCAACGTAGATGTTGATCAATAATTAAGCCTAAATATTTTACCAAAGATGCTTGTGGAATAAAAGTTTCCAGATCAATAACAAGATTTCCCAATTATGGCAGATGATTACTATATGAAGCGAAGCACAGATATTTAGTTTTTTCTATATTTAACGTTAATTTGTTCAATTGAAACCATTTTTTGACCATTGTGAAATCTGAAATGATCTATAGAATATAGCGGTGTCGTCAGCATTTGGTGTCCAAGTTTGGAAAGGAGAGTAAGGAGTGTCATGAGATAAGAAAGTAGGATAAATTTAGCCAATACAACTTATTTCTATCTTTTAACAATATTGAAATCTAAAGAGGTTAATGTCATCTTGGACCGCCAAAGAACAAGTTCGAAAAACCTTTTTGTGGAAGAAGATTACTCGTGGTTTTATATATCAACAGTTAGTTTATATTATTAGATAACTTTTTATGGTATGAGATCTTTGATTTTTTATTTGGCAGAAAGAAATTTCTATATCTTGCAAAAAAAGTCAAATGTTTGTGGAAAAAAAATTTAAGCTTGAGAGCAATAAAAAGCTAAAGAATAGCAAAAGTTATTAAACATTCTATAATGTAAATGATTTTTCTCATATACAGAAATAAAATTATACTTATGTAGCTTCAGAATCATAGTCGAATGTGAAGTAACTTTTATCCATCTTAACACTACACTATTCGGCTTTGTCAATGGTTTCAACTGATAGATGCGACGAATGATTATCGAGCAGGAGAATAATTATTTTGATGACTTGGAGTGATGAATGAAGTTCTTCATAAATTTTTAAAATTCAGCTTGTATCATTCAACCAAATCGATCTATTGGTTAATCCAACCACACTATGAGTAGCAGCATCCATTATACCTTCAGGCCATAGAATTACTACACTAGACCGCGCCTTCCTAGTAGCTGCTATAAGAGCGTGTGTTACCAAGATAGGGTAAGCAAGCCGTAGTCCAAGGACGGGCAGAAAAGCGAATGTGGCATTCAAGGTAGTGCGTATCTCCTTTACTACAACTTGCGGTATTATTTTAGAGCAAACCCTAGGCTTATATAGAAACAAACGGAAAACAATAAATGGAAATTTCGCAATTTTTAAGTCGTATTCGACTATTCAGTGTTGACCAAAGACTTTGTCTTTACAAATTTTACTCGTCTCGTATGTGATTTCGCTTATATCGAAATTTAGGTGGAACAGTGGTAATAGTAAAAACACAATTCATTTTGACAATTTATATTTATTGTTTTGTATACAAATTCCTTAAAATAAGAAAAATCAAAACTGTACAAAACAAACCGTATAAAAATGAAATTGAGAACCGCACTCAGGATTATTATAAAGTACTATGCTGTAGTACAATTTGCTAACCTACTGGTTTTTAAACAACGTTAGTTTGTTATCTATTTGCCTTATCCTGACATTAATTTCATTCACATCTTTGTTTTGATGATGTATGCGAAGCGTGAAATACACTTTTGGAATTAATTTTATGAGTTGTACATTATTAATATTGTCTTGATCTAAAATATGCTGATTTAAAGACGTAGTAGACAGAGTATATACTTTCCGAAGACCGCTTAATATCATTTTATTAATATCAGGATGATTATTTGATTGTACGTAAAACCTAAAAATATTTTCAGCGGTACCACAAATGCTTACGACATCATTTGAAGCAGTTAACAATTCTCCTCGATTTTTTGTGTTCAAAAGATACGAGTTATTTTCCGAAATACGGAACTTGTTCGCTTCCTTCGTTTGTTGCGGTTTCAGAAAAAGCGTTCAGAAGATCATCGACATGCTCTTTTTGATTGCCACTACTTACTGTCAAAATAGAAGTATTGTCCACGCGCATGCAATTTGCAGAAGTGGATGCTTCAATTTCAGTTTTCAATAAAAGCCTCTTGTAGGCACCTTCAAATTGTTTCGCTGTGGGATTGTTATTGAATCCACCTCTTGATCTGATAGCCGAAAAAAACATCTCGATGTGATCTTGGCTTACTTTGTACGTTAGGAAGTAGTCCATGGGGTTTTGTTTGACCAAATCTTCGAATAAGTTTTGTACGCTTAGGATAGATATGATCAAGCCTATGAATCCAGTTTTTCCACGAGTGGTTAGGATACATTCTCCGTTATCAGTCTTAAGTGTAGCTAAGTAGGGTATGGAATTTTAAAAAAATCTGAGAAGGAAGCTTCATTATCGAAAGACAATGGCTTTCCCCAAGTAGCATTCGAAAAGATATTTCTGGAATTGAGCGCATCAAACACATTATTAATTTTTCTGCAAAAATTTGATGTGCCTTCTGAGTCAATAAAAGTCGGTAAATGAAGATCTGTATTGCAGAAATCCTAAGCATCTGCAACACTTGTTCTCAAAACTTGTACAGCCAATCTGACTGTCATAATTTCCCGTCAGAAATGTATGTGCCTTTCTGTCAATTCTTCGTCTAAAAGTATATACCAATCGGCAAGAGTATTTCTGACAAGTTTCACCATGTGACAAGGGTCTAGTATTATAGGGACACGTTCATTATTCACATGATGTCGAAACCAGGGTTGTGCATGAGGATATATTAAATTTGCTCCCAATTTTGATGCAATAGCAAAATTTGTTGCAGTTCCGTCAAATGTCATAGAGTTTTCTGTCCCTCCATGCTGTTTGGGTTCTATATCATCTTGACAACAGTTTGCACTCGCCACGCGTAGTCTAGAGAAGTAAGTCTATGCTTCAGGCATTCTAACTTTGTTGAACAAGAAGAAAGGTGGCATCGAGTTCCCACAGTAAACCATTGTGACCACGCTCAGCAGCTGTTAATTTTCAAACACGTCTGTCTTCTTCCAATGAAAGATAGATTAAAACCAGTTTAATGTCAATTTATATCCATAAAAATGATAATTTAGCATTAAGAATGAAAAAACATAGGCGGTCCCCTCGAGGTAACAAACACATTTTTGAGAGTGCCACTCTATTGTTTTCCAACATCAGAATTATGACTCATGGTTTACTCGATTCTTATTAACTCATGGTTTTCGGATGTGACGCTGCTGTTCATGCTATTAGTTTCACACTTTGATTATCACATCATACAAATCTTTCAAGCGGTCCACTAAAGGTGGTAGTTCCTCAAGGTGACATTACCCTACACAGTAATTACATAGTTATGAAAACAAGATTGTATAAAACTATCATAAAGACTAAACTTTGCTACGGATATGAAAGTTGGACTCTCAATAAAAGAGAGGAATTGTTGGTCAATGCATTTGAAAGAAGGATTTTGAGGCGTGTCTGGGGATCGGTTTGCGAGTGGGGATGTGGAGAATGAGATACAACAAAGAGCTTTATAGTTTGCATGCTAAGCCACCTATCTCCATAAATATTAAGGTAAATAAGAAGATTAAATAACAATTTTGGTGGTAAGAGGGGAAAGCCAAGAAGTAGATGGGTGGGGAAGTGGATGCTGTGGAGGAGGACACGAGGGGGTTCTGGATTGGAAATACTGGGGATAGATAGTGATGGGGGAGCCTGATAAAGGAGGTCAAGACCCGGCACCGGGCTGTTGCGTCATAGAAGAAAAAGAATCTTTTTTCTGCTGTTTTTATCTATGTAACGCCTGATCCGTGTCTCGATGTGCATGATGATAGGCAGATGGTCCTATAGTTATCACAATCGTTGTTCGTACTTCCCTTATTGTGCAGTGGTGTGATGATATTTTCCTCCCAATCTCTAACTATAATTACTCCATCTCAGGCCTGCTGGTAGTAAAACTAAAAATCGAAATATTTTTTTCGACATAATTAAATACAAACCTAATAATATATTTTTTTATATTATTTAGCCACAAGATCCAGTATCTCTTGGTCCAGGAGTAACAGAATCAGCAAGAAAAGCGTTAGAAATTCGTTATTCTCTTTTACCGTATTTATACACATTATTCTGGTGTGCAAATGTGGAAGGTGAAACTGTCGCTCGGCCTGTTTTCTTTGAATATCCCCAAGATGCGATGACTTACAACATTGATTACATGTTCTTTTGGGGATCGGCGGTTTTAATAATCCCCGTTTTAGAAGAAAATAATCTGTCTGTAGGAATATATTTACCTAAAAATATTTGGTACGATTATTACACCAAACAAAGAATAATTAGTACCGGTGAAAATAAAACTTTGGCGGCCCCGTTAGATATGATTCCCATTTTGATTAAAAGCGGAAGTATCATTCCGCAACAACAACCGAATAAAACTACGACATTTTCGCGTCAATCAAAAATTGAGTTACTTTGTGCACCAGATATTAATAAAATGGCTAATGGAAAATTGTATTGGGATGATGGAGATTCTTTAAGTAACTTATTATTATATTTTTAGGAAATTAGGAATTATTTTTTGTGGTTTTTGTAGATGTCGTTGAAGAAAGGAAATATTCTTTATTACAATTCCAATTAAAAACTGGAAAATTAACCAGTGAACCTGTTTGGTGGAATGAGGTTCATCCCCCAAATTTAGGGGCTGTAACTATTATGGGGATGTTTGATCCGGTTAGAGAAGTGATGATTAATAACGTTTCACAAAGGTTTAAATACGATACAATCTACAAAGTAAGTATTATTAATAATTTATGACTCACTAAAAAATTTAACTTTTTTTTTTTAATTTTTTAGTACTTAATCATTGATAATTTAGATATCAATTTTTCAAACGCAATTGTAATAACTTGGCATTAGAGAAACCAAAAATGAACGTCTCGACGCCCAACAAAATATGGATAAATAAAGAATTTATTTCTTTAATAATAAGACTGTTATGAATCATTATTATTAGTATTTTTAAACAATTAGATTCAATCTTTGAATTTGAAAAAGTATTTTAGAAAATATCTTATTCCAATTTAGATGTTAAAAATAGAGTGTCTTTATACTTAAAAGATCTTGTGTCATAACAATTCATCTAGTTGATAAAATGCCAAAGTTTAGTGTTAATTAACTTAGATATTAAATAATAAAATCAACGAAATCTCGTCAGTATAAATAATGTTTTAAAAATCTTCATGTTTTTTGTTTCCTGATGAAGAACGGTTTTCGAGTGTGAAATTTACTGTAAACATAGAGGATATTGAGGTTTGCAGAGATTATTTTTTTTATCTGCGAAAATAAGTTTTAAATGAGTTTAAAATAAACACAAAGTATAAGAATAATTTTTGTCATTAATGTTTTTATATAATAATAATACTTTATTGACCTAAGAGATAACTACATACAAACAATGAAATCAGTTAAAGTTCAATCAGTTTAAGCACCCATTGAGCTTAAATACATTATTTAAGCTCAATGGGTGCAAGAGGAGAAAAGGCAAAAATGCCACTGATTGTATCTAATAAGGTACAGTACAAAACTCAAAATTCAACAAACACAAAATTGCACATTACAAAAATCTATCAAACACCTTTTCACGCAAAAGATTAAGTTTGAACGCACACCTCGCACAACTAAAAACCGGACTCCCAAAATCGAGCAATATGGTACGAAAATAAACACTGGAATTTTGAGGACCTATGAGAAGGAATGTTTACAAAAAAAATGTGCCGGCAATTCAAGTTATGAACATAATTTTACGATTGAGATAACGCGGCTTGCAAAAGGTAATAAGCCGATAGATAAAACACAAGTAATGAACCACAAACCTATGTCGTATATTCAGCCAATCAACATCTGAATTCTGGATTCGCGGGAAGGCAGGCTGAACCGCCCGCAGCACTTTGACCTCAGCAGATCTCTTCCATTCTGCCTGGTCTCTTGCAATCTCCCACCAACTAGACACCTTGAGGGCCTTACGATCATTGTCGACACCATCTATCCAACGCGCACATTTCTTCTTCCCTTCGGTTTACCTGTCATGACTTTCTGGGTAACCCCCGAAACCGGTATACGATACACGTGGCCGGCCCATCTCAAGCAACTTATCCTTATGGTTTCAACTATATCGGGGTCCTCGTAAATCCAACATAGTTCAAAACAGAGCTGTTACAAGTACAAAGGAAAAGTTCTCCTAGTAACCAGTACAAGTACCGCTATAATTAATTTTATTCCAAGTAATAAGTAACAAGTATTTTTAAAAAGTACTTGGAGTAATAAGTAATTTTACTTCAAACTAAAATTTCAAGTACCCAGTACACAGTAATTACTCGTTTAAGTACTCCAATTATTTTAGTTATTTACAGTAAATAAATGTACTCTAAATAGCTTAAAACTACTTCCAATAAGTTAGAAATTTGTGAGGTTCATCGTAAAAATTATAAATTAAAAGCCAGTTATTTACGTTGATAAATGTTTTATTTTTTAAAACAGGATAATTCGGTACAACAATGTTTCAGCTAACAATCCATTGAATCTTCGGGTTATTTCATCAAATTCTATTGGATGTAGGGTTGTAGATAGTTTTCTGTGTATAAATTTTAGGAGTGATTCTTGTTGGGAAAGTCTTTTATATTGTATTCTGATGTTCTTCTTTATCAATTTACGTTCAATGTCCTCCTGTTGATTCTTGAATATTTTTGGCACTTTGATTTTGAATACTTTCGATGTGACGTTATGATAAATGGCGGCATGTAGGAAATTAATGGTGTCTTTGGTGTTCTGTCATTGTATTCTGATGTAAATGATAAAAGACTTTCCCAACAAGAATTACTCCTAAAATTTATACACAGAAAACTATTTACAACTCTACATCCAATAGATTCAAAGAAAGATGATTCAAAAGGCTGGATTGTCAGCTGAAACATTATTGCACCGAATTATCCTGTTTTAAAAATAAAACATTTATCATCGTAAATAACTGGCTTTTAATTTATAATTTTTACGATGAACATCGAATCACAAATTTCCAAATTGCTTAATGCGGATTTATCCGTTTGGATTCGAACTATGAGAAGTGCCATGAACAAACGAGAGACTACCAAAGACAGCATTAATTTCCTACATGCAGCCATTCATCATAACGTTACACCGAAAGTATTCAAAATCAAAGTGCCAAAAATATTCAAGAATCAACAGGAGGACATTGGGCGTAAATTGATAGAGAAGAACATCAGAATACAATATAAAAGACTTTCCCAACAAAAATCACTCCTAAAATTTATACACAGAAAACTATCTACAACCCTACATCCAATAGAATTTGATGAAATAACCTGAAGATTCAATGAAAAAATACATTACTTTCAGTAGATCGATTCAGATGCTTGATTGTCAGAGATTGTTTAATTTTTTCTAGCTTTATTTTATAATAATATATAATTTATAATGATATAATACTGGGAAGAAGGTATTCGTAATAGGTATGTTGATCTCCTTGAAGAAAATCAAGGGTTTCTGCTATTGATTTCATTATTTTTATGTATTCCTCCAAAAACAAAAAAACCTTCTGAGTAGGTCAATGTCGAAATTAATAGTTTGTCACAGAGTTTATCCAGTTTTTTTTTGCACAACGAAATTTGTTTTGTGGCATCATATAAAGAGTTCCGTCTGGTTACACCAGGATAACTCAGTGTGTGACCCAAAATTTTATAAATTATTTCAACAGATTTTGGTCTTCTAGCCTTTTTTCACAACTTCGAACAAATTTATTAAAAACAAAACTGTTTTTGCTTTTTAATTGAAAATTTTGTAGTAGAGAGTTATTACAGTCTGTTGTAGCAATTAAATTTAATGTATGTGAGGCGCATCGAAGATGTTTCGATAAATAAAAAAAAAAAACACTAGCAAATTGTAAATCTGAAACAATTTCAGTTTCTTCGCCTACATTTTCTAAATCTGGTATTAATGCCTCAGTTTCGGTCGTTTCAGTCACCTGTTCTGTATTATTTTCTTCTGTTTCTTTATCCGTATAAACTCAAAATTCTTGAAAACACTTAACGAAATTCGACCCATTGTTAGTAATTGTGGCTAGAATTTTTCCATCCAGATCATATCCCTTATATATGTCGTCTAAAATTTTTGCAATTCTATCATGTGTTCCTTCAAATCGACAAGAAGATAATGCTACAGATTTCCTTTGTAGATTGTCGGTTATCCAATGATAAGTTACTCCAATAACACTTCTCTTTTTACAAGACCATATATCTGCGCATTTTGACAAATCAAGTTTAATGTCTGTGATCATCTGGTCGCAACTATAAAAACTTATTGAAACATCAAAAATACAAACTGCGAATTATTTTGCATAATTTAAATTTTGAAATAGTAAAGAGATGGGATGGGAATTAGGAATGAATCGAACATTATGTAGTGAATGGCTATATTTCATGGCTACATGAAATGATAAACTATAAACTATCACTGTTAAGTATATAACTAATATATGTATGATGATAAATGTTAGGTATAAGAAAACTTTAAAACATTGTTATTTTACATTACCATTGAAAGTACTGGAAGTAGATAAACTACTTGGAGTAAACAAATAGTTCTTTAAATACTTCTTATGTCAAACAAATAACAAGTATCCAGTATATTTTAAGCTAAATACTGAAAGTACAAGTACTAAGTACCTACAATTTCAAAGTACTGGCAGTAAACTACTTAAAGTAAAAAAGTACTGAATACTTTACTTGCAGTACATTTTTACTGCTAGTAGCTCAACTCTGGTTCAAAATTATATCTTCTATTACCTGATCTAGTCACCTAGTTGGCGATCTTTCCCTTGGTTTTTGCCTTCTACTTTTTGTTAGACTATTAATTTTTTCAAGTTATCTCCATCTCTTTTGATTATATGACCGAAGTATTGTAGAATTCGTCGCCTGCAAATAGCATCTTTGATCTCGAGCTCTTTCAGTATAGATATGTTAGTGCTGCCCAAGGAATACGCAGCATTCAACGCCAGCACTTTTCGACGAGCAATCGGAATCCGTCTAGGTACTGTAACTGCAAATGGAGTTGCATCATCCTTCAAACGTATTTTATATTTAAAATTCTTTAGTTTTCCGATACCCCTAAATACATCTTAATATTTGTTTTTTATTTTCTGATCGTAATCCTCTTTATTTGTCGTATCAATATTGACAATTGATGATTGTTCCATTTAACGATTTTTAATGTATTTAAAGCTGGTCTACCCAATAAGTTCTCGTGTAACTGACTTTATTAATCACATTATAATTTATTGATCTTTCCATATCGAGTTGGTCAACGCTACTTTAGCAATCACTATTAGTCTTCTAATTTTTTTTTTCATATTTTCCCTAATCGCATATGAGTGCGCCTAGGTGTATGAATTCATCTACGAAATTTTCCTTTGTTAGAGTATTGCCTTTGTCTATTATCATCAATTTTGTCTTATTTAAGCCCATTTGTAGGCTAGGATTCTATGGAGTTTTTTTCTGTATTTTGCCAGCAGAGTAATATTATCGACATTGATACGACTCTGCTGCTCCACGTCTAATTATAAATTGCCCATATATGTGGAATAGCCTTACTAATAAAATACACCCCTCTCTGATACCTTTTTCTACACTAAATGCACGTGAGACATTAGTAATTTGGCAGTCCCATTTCACCGAGCACTAACCACAAGTGTTCTTATTTGTCAACACAGCAGCATGGGTGTATTGCTTGAATACTCTATTAATTGCCTGACATTAAAAATCTGATGTCGTGTGCCTCTTTCCTTAGTCAATAGTTGTTTCGTGGTTGGTCTATTATTCGCAATAAAATTTTACTAGCATGTGATATTAGTTCTGTAATTTCCACATTTCATTATGGCGCCTTTCTTGTATATGGTGATGAAAATTGATGTTGTTCAATCTTTTGGTCATTTTCCTGTTCTCCATACTATGCTGCATAGATCTAAAAGCATTTTGACAGCCGTATCGTCCAGCACTTTAAAAATTTCTGCCTGGATTAGATCTGCTGCAGAGTCCTTATTTCTCTTTAGGTGACGTATAGCTTCTATCACTTCTTCTTTCAAGATATCTGACTCACAATCTATCTTTTCCCAATTGTTATTCGCCTTTCGTCTGTATTACTTGTCAGAATGCAGCTCTTCACAGTACTGTATTTATCGATGAAGTACCATCTTGTCTGTCCATCAATATCTTTCCATCTATATGTTTTATTGCTAACATTCAAGATTTGAATTTCCTTGTTAGCAGGTCACTTTTTGGAAAAGATTGCTAAGTACATATTGATTGTTACAGTGTTCTTCAATTTCGTTCCACATGTTTTTGATAAAGTCGTTTTTATCTTTTCGGCTCTTTCTCTGAATTTCTCTGCTCAATCATTTTTGTTTTCCTTGGCAGTTAATCTTTATTCTTTGATGTTCCTCCTTTTTCGGATTACAAACAGTATTCCTCAGTAATCCAATGATACATTTTTTGTTCATCAGTGCTATTTGCTGTTGGTTCAGTTTGTCTATAATTTTTTGCGGGTCTGATATTTTTTAATTTTATTTTGGTATCTGCTGTTGATCTGATCCGCAATCTACTCAAAGTAGGGTTTTTGTTTAAACTTTTTAACTGGTTAATTTTTGGGAACAAGTGTCGCCAGACAACATTTCCATCCCTTAGGATGGTTATCCTACGGAAACCGACATTCTCAAATAAAAGATAAAAATGTGACAAAGAACATTCAAAATACGAGAACACAACATAACCATATTTACAGAAATATCATCCGAACCAACACAAGCAGATTTAAGCAACAGCAAAAAGAATTGCTTTCCAGGCCTTCGCATCAGCAAAGTCTTTATTAATTGCTTCGTAGTCAATTTGACTTAATCACTCATACTCGATCGAAATCATTGCCAGCGCAACTAAGCGTTTTTGAGACATTGATGCTTGCAAATAATGTTTTATTAAATTAATTTAAACACTTTTTTACCCTGACCCATAGCGTCAGGGTATTCAACGCCACGAATGCAATGAGAAAATTTAAGCTTAATTTTCAATTAAACAGATTGACATAATACAGTGGTAATTAATTAACATAATACAGTAAGTTGCTGAAGAAGCTGTAGTCCATCAACATCTCGGTGATCACAATCTATTAAAGATAGTTGGAAATCCTGGCATTTTTTCAATAACTCATAGCATTGGTTATTATTAATGTCGTACAAAAAGCTAAATATATCATTGTTGTGTTGGAACTGCTCATCTTTCTTCTAATAAATTTATGGCTATATCTAGGATGGAAAAAAGGAAATTTATCTGAAATGCGTTTTCTACTGAAAATTTGCTTCTACTGGTGTCCATTGTGTTACACTACCCCGATGGCCGCTCGACGTTTCCGCCGGATCTGAATAAAAGCTCTTTAACGAATAGCACCCGTAACAAAATTACATCTTCTTCTTCTTTCTAAACACAGGCTTAATTCTGCAGACCTTTATTCTATGCTAAAATTGTGGCTCCATCTTTTTCTTGGTCGTCCTAGACTTCGTTTACCGGCGATTTATCCCTGACTTTTTTCACCATCTTATCCCATTCTTTCTTCCGCTTATGTGTCCAATTGTTAATATTTTCCACTCCACATAATGTTCTTATGTCCCGCTTTATTCTCTGTCGTATAGTTTTACCGGTGATTCTGCAAAGTATCTTCATTTCTGCTGAAACAAAATTACGTAACTGTTCAAAATATTGGTGAAAATGTGCATTACTTCTCGTTCTCCTATAAAGCCTTATAGCAGACTCTCGAAGAACCATCATCTTTTTTTATATTGTAACGAGAGGTGCATGGACACCAAACAAAGAAATCATAAGAAGAGGTCATATACCATCCTCCAGTTCCTAATATCTAAATCTATCTTACAGTGTTCGAGATATTAAATACAAACACTAAATATGCTGCAAAACCTAATGGGGTGTTTCACCCGTTTTTGGTGAATTTCTGTACCCTCAATGTTTACACCAAATTTGAAATATTTCTGAATTTGACACTTCGAAATCCTCTTAGTCAAAATTTATAATTTTTTGACCCACCCTGTATTATTTTAAAACTATTATTAAATGTAACAAATAAACTTGTAAATGTTATTGGTGTCAAAATAAAAGTTTTTAATCCAAATTTTCAATGTTTCCATCCCTATTTAAAAAAGAAAATAAAACTTCATATTTAGTTATTACTACATTTATTATCTAATGTGATACAACATGGCACACAAGTAGAAATGTATAGTTTACAAGATTTTTGTTTTTTATTTTAATAAGGTGGTTACACAAAATCGTAAAAATTCCGCACATATAAATGGCAACTTATATCTTTGGTTTAAATTTATTTTGTTTCGATAACTTTATATCAAGATGAATCACAGTTTGGTTGGGTTTTAATGTTTTTTGAAATGATGTTGGAACATGATAATATGGAAAAAAATAATTAAAGAATGAACGTTTTAACAAGAAGCTTATTAGGTAAATGTTCTTATAATTAATTTCACCGTTTTATCCTTCGACGATTGACCTGGAAGAACATTGAAAAAATTATGACAAAAAATATTTTAAAAAAAAATTTCCATATTATTTTAACGTCCATTTACGTTTTGTAAAAACATAAAAATTTGAGTAATTATAAAAAGAAAATACCACCACCTGTTTTGAAAAAAAAAATAATACGTTGAAAATGTTTATAACAAAGCATAACATACTACTTGGTTCTATCTTATAGTATGTGTTTTCATTCTACGTTATTTAAATTAATTGCACCACATTCGACACATATTATCGAACATCTTGGTAAAATATGAACAAAAAATAATAAAAAGTAATATATCTGATACTATAATAAAAAAAGCCTTAACGGTTCTTTGGTCGTTACAAAAAAAATTTTATATTAACCCTTTAACATACCTTGATTTATTGGTGATACACTATAAATAATTTGAAAAGTACAATCGATTTAAATTATTGTGGTTCGACATAGTTCAAGATGATCTACATTGGGAACATATTTTCAAACCTTTATCATTTCTATAGTAATGAATATTTGAAATAAATTTAATTTACGAAAGAACTGTTTTACCATTTTTTTTGCCATCCGCTTCTTACTAATTAAACCATAACACTTGAATTGTGACAAATTATATCAAATTGCAGATATATTCATCTTGAGTGATTTTAGCGTACCTAATATTAAATTTTACTGCAATTTATTCTGGAATGTTATTTAAATTAGCAATTAAATTTAATAATAAAATGTGTCTTTTTGAATTATATTGATAGCTTCAAAAATTTCATAACGATTAGCAAGAAAATTTAATTGATAACAATTTACTTCGAAAATTATGAGTATAGTAGAAGAAAATACGATACGTTTATTTTGCATAGAGTATCTTATAAACACTTAAAGTGTAGAGAGAAGTAATTTAATAAAGAAAATTCAGAGAATTAGTCATTTTCAATTTAACCGAAATTTATAGTGAAGAATAAATAAGAATTACTTAAATTTACCGATAAACAACAAAAATGGTTACAAGAAATAAATAAAATATATGAATATAGGAAAAGTTAAGCAACAAATATTACTTAAGGTTGTATAAAAAAAATGGTTTTCTACCCTGATGTTTATTTTTCTTCTATCTCTCAAAGATCTCGTATCTCATTAAGATATGAGGTGTCATTTTCTAACTTTATTAAAACTATATATTATATTCTTTTAATAATAACATCATAATGTTTTAAGCGTTATTAGAATTGACGTGATCTATGGAGACAAGCAAGGGTTGAAACTGATTTATAATCGCAGAATAAAAACATTCTTTTTACATATTATTATCAAAATACATAAAAAAAATTGATGTGGTAAGTTATGATAAGTTTTGAACAGCTATGTTTAAAAAGATTGGGACTTTTTGCTAAGTTAATTCTTATTAAACTAATTATCATTGTTTATAATTCACAATCCTAGGACGAAGACACTAGATGTTTGTTTATTTAACATGATGATTTATTACTACAGATTCTTGATTCTTTATTATACAATATTATGACACGAAACCAAACAACTTAGGAGGTAGTAGATGAATAACTATGTCCTTTTCAAAAAATAAAACTGCACTATGCGAAGTAGCAACAAATAATGAAGGTTGAAGGTTTTTGACATATTTTGATATCATCAGATAAGTTTCCAAAAATTTCCCAAATTCAAGCTTCGTTGTATTTTGTGTCGTGATGGAGAATACAAAACATTTTACAACTTATCTTTTTTTTCTAAGTTTTCCAATATTATAACATCACATAATGTTGGTTCTTTGCAAAACTGATGATAGAGACTAAGTTTATTTTGATATCTATTGTATAGTTGATGCATCTATATATCATAGGTCACATTGAAGACGAAGTGTGAAAATGTTAATAGATGTTTTATACTCGATTACTATATTCTACTTTGGTCTTGAGAGTGAAGATATTTGTGTTATGCATTTAGAATATGTTATGAATTCAACTGCTGAGTACTACTAAATTTCCAAAAATCTTCAAGTGCTTTGACCTTGCAAAGTGCTAGGAAGTAGAGGTTCATTAATGTAAAAGACAATCAAAAAATTTTCAATTCATCACTATCAAAGAAATTTAAAAAAAATGATGATGTCATATTAAGTCGACAGCAAAACATATCAAAAATAATTTTAGTTGAGCTAGCTGTTTCTTTATTTAACATGATGATCTATTACTACAGATTCTTGATTTTTTATTATACAATATTATGACACGAAACCAAACAACTTAGGAGTTAGTAGATGAATAACTATGTCCTTTTCAAAAAATAAAACCGCACTATGCGAAGTAGCAACAAATTATGGAGGTTGAAGGTTTTTGACATGTTTTGATATCATCAGATAAGTTTCCAAAAAATTCCCCAAATTCAAGCTTCGTTGTATTTTGTATCATGATGGAGAATGTAAAACATTTTACAACTTATCTTTTTTTTTAAGTTTTCCAACATTATAATATCACATAATGTTGGTTCTTTGCAAAACTGATGATAGAGACTAAGCTTATTTTGATATCTATTGTATAGTTGATGCATCTATATATCATAGGTCACATTGAAGACGAAGTGTGAAAATGTTAATAGATGTTTTATACTCGATTACTATATTCTACTTTGGCCTTGAGAGTGAAGATATTTTTGTTATGCAGTGCATTTAGAATATGTTATGAATTCAACTGCTGAGTACTACTAAATTTCCAAAAATCGTAAAGTGCTTTGACCTTGCAAAGTGCTAGGAAGTAGAGGTTCATTAATGTAATTTCAATTCATCACTATCAAAGAAATTTAAAAAAAATGATGATGTCATATTAAGTCGACAGCAAAACATATCAAAAATAATTTTAGTTGAGCTAGTTGCGAACAAAATTGATGTGGAATAACACCATGAATAAGTTTTGAACAGCTATGTTTAAAAGGTTTGGAAGTTTTTGCTAAGTTAATTCTTATTAAACTTATTATCATTGTTTATAATGCACAATCCAAGGACGAAGACACTAGATGTTTGTTTATTTAACATGATGATTTATTACTACAGATTCTTGATTTTTTTATCATACAATATTATGACACGAAACCAAAAAACTTAGGAGTTAGTAGATGAATAACTATGTCCTTTTCAAAAAATAAAACCGCACTATGCGAAGTAGCAACAAATTATGAAGGTTGAAGGTTTTTGACATGTTTTGATATCATCAGATAAGTTTCCAAAAAATTCCCCAAATTCAAGCTTCCTTGTATTTTGTGTCATGATGGAGAATGCAAAACATTTTACAACTTATCTTTTTTTTTAAGTTTTCCAACATTATAATATCACATAATGTTGGTTCTTTGCAAAACTGATGATAGAGACTAAGCTTATTTTGATATCTATTGTATAGTTGATGCATCTATATATCATAGGTCACATTGAAGACGAAGTGTGAAAATGTTAATAGATGTTTTATACTCGATTACTATATTCTACTTTGGTCTTGAGAGTGAAAATATTTTTGTTATGCAGTGCATTTAGAATATGTTATGCATTCAACTGCTGAGTACTACTAAATTTCCAAAAATCTTCAAGTGCTTTGACCTTGCAAAGTGCTAGGAAGTAGAGGTTCATTAATGTAAAAGACAATCAAAAAATTTTCAATTCATCACTATCAAAGAAATTTAAAAAAAATGATGATGTTATATTAAGTCGACAGCAAAACATATCAAAATAATTTTAGTTGAGCTAGTTGCGAAGAAAATTGATGTGGAATGAGACCATGAATAAGTTTTGAACAGCTATGTGTAAAAGGTTTGGAAGTTTTTGCTAAGTTAATTCTTATTAAACTAATTATCATTGTTTATAATTCACAATCCTAGGACGAAGACACTAGATGTTTCTTTATTTACTAATAAACATGATGATTTATTACTACAGATTCTTGATTTTTTATTATACAATATTATGACACGAAACCAAGCAACTTAGGAGTTAGTAGATGAATAACTATGTCCTTTTCAAAAAATAAAACCGCACTATGTAAAGTAGCAACAAATTATAAAGGTTGAAGGTTTTTGACATATTTTGATATCATCAGATAAGTTTCCAAAAAATTCCCCAAATTCAAGCTTCCTTGTATTTTGTGTCATGATGGAGAATGCAAAACATTTTACAACTTATCTTTTTTGTCTAAGTTTTCCAATATTATAACATCACATAATGTTGGTTATTTGCAAAACTGATGATAGACACTAAGTTTATTTTCATATCTATTGTATAATTGATGCATCTATATATCATAGGTCACATTGAAGACGAAGTGTGAAAATGTTAATAGATGTTTTATACTCGATTACTATATTCTAAGATTACAGAATTCTAAGATTCTGTTGAAGGTTTTTGACATGTTTTGATTTAGGCAAATAAGTGTCCAAAAAATTCTCCAAATTCAAGTTTTATTGTATTTTGTATCACAATGGACAATGAAAAACAAGCTTTCATGATGTGCAATGTATTACATAGAAACGTTGCAAGTTTTCCAATATTATAATTTCACATAATTTTGGTTCTTTGCAATACAGATGATAGAGACTAAGTTTATTTTGCTATCTATTGTGTACTTGATGTATTTATATATTATAGGTCTACTTTTGTTCTTGAGAGTGAAGATATTTTTGTTATGCAGTGCATTTAGAATATGTTATGAATTCAACTGCTGAGTACCACTGAATTTCCAAAAATCTTGCAACAACCTTGGAAAGTGCTAGGAAGCAACAATCAAAGAATTTTCAATGAAAAATGATGAATAATAAAAATGATGATGTCATATTAAGTTGATAGCAAACTCGTACTAAGTTAAAAGGTGGTACAAACAATTAAATGATACATTAAAATTGAGATACTCATGAAATTTAATGAGAGTATGATAATAGTTATCAACTTTAATTCGAGTATATACGAAATTAAACGTAATGATGCTAAAAACAAATAATGGATCTATTTCTTTATAAAAGGTTTAGTGACTTTTTATAACCAGCTATTTCCTTCCAAAACATTTCTCATCAAATTTCTACCAGTCGATGACGCCATTATATCGCGCCAGATGACCTTAAACATTTTTCATAATATTGTCCTTCTGGAAATAAAAAATGAATCAACTCGAGCTAACGGTCATGTAATCGAAATATATTGATATTTAAAAGCATGTTTTAGAACTGAATAATTGAATGTAACTAATTTAAACTTTCCTTTTGAAAATATGTATTATGATGCACATACATATGTATAGTACTGACATCTCATATACAGTGTTTTTTAAATTGATGCGAAAGATTTCAACGAGTGATTTTTCAACAAAAATTAAGGAGGTTTTTCATATAACTTTTTGTTCAAAACGCTTCCCCATATGTATGTATAGTACTGACATCTCATATACAGTGTTTTTTAAATTGATGCGAAAGATTTCAATGAGTGATTTTTCAACAAAAATTAAGGAGGTTTTTCATATAACTTTTTGTTCAAAACGCTTCCCCACTGAGTTACAGCACTTTAAAGTTGAATGAAATTTGGCAGATAACTGTTGCTAATATAATGACACTTTTTGACGATTTTTATAACCCGAAAATGTTAATACAAGGGGCTGAAAAATTTCTCAATCATATATAAATCATTTCCTCCTAAAATTGTTAGTTTGATCAGAAAAAATAAAATAATACACAGGTTCAAGTGAATAAATTCAGAGATTGGTTATTATTAGTCAAAAAAATTAAGTTATGTCAAATTGATCTCAGCATTATTTTAGTTTTTGTGGTCAAACTAACTAACTATTTGCTAGTTGTAAAATGTCAAGAGATTTTGTCCCTTAACTTTAGAGGGCTATAACTTGGAAGAGAAGGGGTTTTGAACAAAAAGTTATATGAAAGGCACCCCTTAATTCTGCTGAAAAATTACACCTTGAAATCTTTCGCATCAATTTAGAAACAGCCTGTATATAACATGGTAATATCCTCATAAATGATGACAAAAGTATTAGGAAACCTGTTTATTGTAAAATTTTTTTAAAATGATATAGCGAAAGAACATTGTAGAAGCTTTAAAACCTTGAAACAAAAGTATGACTCATAAAAATGTTTAGATGATTAGTTGATTTCGATGAATATGGACGTGTTTAATACATGTTTGTGTACCATTTAATAGTTTTCTTCGCCGCCCGAGTAGAAGTTTCTCTGATCTAAAATAAAACTTAAAAATCAAGAACTGAGGATTGACTCAAGTACAAATGGCAAGTACCTACTCATATCTCGCAGTTCAAACAACGTATAGGAAATATGGCGAAACCAAGCGAGTCTAATCAAAACCTAAAATAGGAAAAGATTATCTAGACATCTGTTAGAGAAGACCGATTTTTAGTACAAACAACTTAAAAAATCACAAACAGAAAAGGATTTCAGTATTCTGAAGTGCCGTGGAGTCACTATTTTCCATAAAACTGTTACTAAACAATTTAATGAGCGCGATCGCAAATCCAGATAAAAAGAAAAATATGTATGAAGAAATTGTTTGAATGGACCAAAAAAAAGATGTGTTGGACTGGCAAAAAAGTGTTGTGCTCCTAGGAAAGCATATAAGGGACATTTACTGTTGTTTATTATTGTTGGAACACCGCCCGCAGTGATCTTTTCCTACCACAACCAAGACTTCCTTATTTCTTTCGGACGAATGAATTCAAAGACCTATATCATCCATAATAATAATAATCGATAAAGTAAATTATATTGCAAACATTAACATGCATTTTCAATCTAATAGTAATCAACTTGGTTGAAAGTATTGATTATGAAAACGGTTAGAGGTATAACAGTTGAAAAGAAATCAACGCCACAAAGAATAATTTGTATATTACAAGATTTAAAAAATTATTAACTGTAAGATTTATTAGTATTCTTTAAAAACATCTTTTGGTTATAGCAAAACAGATACTGATAGTATATGTGACTTTATTGGCAAAGCTTTGAAAAAAAATTATTAAAAGTATAATGACAACGAAAAGTAAATTTTAAAAGTCTTTCGTATATAGGAAATTACTTACACAAAGGACGTACCCCAGAATTTTATTCAAAACGATGCACAGTGTTTTGTATATGTAAAATTCAATGCCTATAATTCAGAAATTTTTGGACAGAAAAACCAAGTATATTGAGAAGATTGTAAATTGAACATAGTTTGTAATTATTAGAGAGGAAAAAGAAGAGCTACATATTATTTCACTTCTTGCATATCACTCATTACTAAAAATGCCTAATATACTGACTGGATATGAAACCGTTGATGATTCGTCGTTTATAGTGTAGACAATTATTAATCAAGATTTTTTGTTAATAAATACAAAATTTGAAGTGCTATCAAGGCAAAGACTAGGTGCAATATAGTGATATTACGAATCCAAGCCAATTTATGATCCCTGAAAGGACTTTTGGTCATAAGCTACATGTACCATTTATTTTGTTATACCAATACAATTTGTTCTGTTTGTTTTGCGTCCAGAAGCGCAACAATATTTTCGTAACCTATTTTATAATTACGTTTTGGCTCATTTTGGTGTTTAAGTAGATCAACAACTAAACGCAACGTTTGATGATTGATAGATCAGGAGGCAAATATAGAGCAAAATAGTAAACTAGATATGATTTATACCAACAAAGAAACGAATTATTTTTAGAACAGACACTGAGGGTCTATATTCTATAATTAGTTTTTTGCTTGAAAACAACTTTAACCCTTAACGTACATTTGCAATTCATTACATTCCAATTCTTTTCAATAGCGCAATTGTGGATGATCTTAAACTAACGGTGAAAGATAACAAATTAGAATGGAGTTGTTTGACTCATGAGTATCAATAAGATATTAGAAAAAATAAATATTGGAAGGATTATTGATACGTGATAATATGCCAGAATATTATTTTAGAAAAGTATTAGTACTGAGCCTCATTCATGATTCATGACAGAAATAACTATTGACTATTGGTAAAGATTTGTCCCATTGATTGAACTTTTTGTAAAAAATCATATTTCTTAGGAATTATCGGTAAGATGGATTTTTCTGAATATTACAACAAGCAGTCGTCAGTGTATGCATTTGTTAAAATGTTTAAGCCAAAACTTGTGCCAATAAAGTAAGGTTAAAAAAGTTTGGAAAATTTTGTTCTTCATTTTATAACTTCTTTTTTGCGTTCTAGGGTTAATAACTAATTTGTGCAATTAAAAACACAAATGACAATAAAGCTGAAAAAGATAGACTAAAACCATCTTCCTTATATGGGAACATAAGATATAGCTGGAAATGATGTAGGTTTGAAAAATGTTTAAGAATTTCGATCATTTTGTCTTATATCAAACAACAAAACACTTTCTAACCTGATTAAAAACTACATCTGATTTCATTTCAAAAATTAATAAACAAGAATTATATTCATCTAACGGTTCTATTTCATGTGTGGTAAATGATATAAAGAACGTTCAGAACACCCTCTAGATTTTTACTAAAATAATTTTTAAAAGTTACCAAGTTTATCGATGTTTACAATCATAAAAATTGAAAATAAAAAAAATATTTGGGCAAATTTACATATAAACAACAAGTTCATGTGAACGTAAAAATTATATAAAATTTAATAGAAAATATCATTTATAACCCAAAATCAATTTAAATCTCCAATGTGGAGATTAACATGTTAAATATGCTTGGCATCATTTTACATTAAAATGGAAAGGTTTCATGAATTTATTAATGTATTTGAATTTTAGTTAATATTTTGAAATATTCTAGCATCAAAAATATTTCTAAATGATTATACCAAAGGTTTACGTTTAGAAACAGCTTCGACTCCTTTTGAAGAATTATTGTGTTCAACAAATTGTACTATTTATGGTTCTCAGTTCATCTTAGTTGTGTGTGGTTCCTGCCAACCTCAAATAAAGAAAAATCAACAATTTGAAAATCCTGATATCTGCATGCGGTAAAATTTTCAAGAATTTTTTAAAGCTTTTTGGTTGATTCTAATATAATAAATATCTAAATATTTTGAAATTGATGATTTCATAGATGCTTGAAGTATGAGCGTCTATGAAAAAAAGTGTATGAAAGTCTATGAAACAACGAAATACTTATAATTTTTGACATCTTCTTCCTGCTGTATTCTAATATTTATAACTTTCCGCAGGAGTGAGGTGCATTTACGCAGCAACTTATATTTCAAGTAAACCGTAGCGAAATGGTTGTTGGTGACTCATATACAAGAACTAGAAATAACAGTCTTATAGCCCAGTCAAGAAAAAACGCAAGAAAGAATAATAAAAATTTTTTGTTTGAGTTTGAACTCAATACCAACAGAAGCAACCGACAGTCTTTGACTATCCCATGCCAAAAAAATGTACTAAAATAGATAGGTCACACATTGCAAACTCATTCTAGTGATCGAAAAAAAACTTTCTTTGTACTAGATTTCCTCATACAGTCTCCAAAATTTCGCTAGCATTATTAAAATTTTGCTGCGATATGCGTTATCGCCAATCTTTTTCAAAGCAAAGTGTCATACTGTACAGCATCTTTTCTAATGTGGACAATTTGTAGGTTTTTTCATGGAAATGTACCATTTAGAAATTCAGCAGTTTTGGAAAAAACTATTGCAGAGAGATTAATATGGTAAACGTTATCTGCAAGACAACACTATTATTTTGGTAATTATATTTTGCAAATTTGAAACAACATAGAAACAACAATATGAAATAAGAGAAATAGACAATGGGTCAAAGGTAGTACATTATACAATATTGTATAGTGAGCCAAGAATGTCTGTTGGTGATTTCTGTTATCATTTATCATTAACATGATAATTAACATTCAATTATCACCACTTCTATATGTTCTAATGGTTTGTTTATTAGTATGTCATAGAAAAAAAAAACAGTTTTTTATTGCTATTTTCCAGTTTTTTTATGTTATCATTTATGTTATCAAAAGAAAACTGGAAAATAGCAATAAAAACCTGCTTTTTTTTTATGACATATACTAATAAACAAACTATTAGAACATACAGAAGTGGTGATAATTTCGGTTTACAGAAAGTAGCGGATTTATAACTCACTTTCGTAATAAATAGAGATGAGTTGACAAAGTAAATACGACAAAGATTACGAATATGATTACATTTGTTATGCACTAAACAAACGCTTCTTTTTGTGTTTGGGGTTTATTTTAAAAATAAGAACCTTATATTAATAACAATATTTACTAAACCTGTAGTCTATACTTTACTTGGTCTTTACTAAATCTGTACTATCCTCTGAGGATCTAGTTACTTCTCAAATAACAATTACAAAGTGGATACAAAAATTTACAAGAAGCAGTATCGTGTTTTTGTACCACAGAAGTATTTAAAGGAAGAACTCCCTATGTACACACTCAAGAAAATGTTGAAAGGTGAGGCCTTACAAAATACTAGATAAACTACTAAATAACATAGCTCAACTCATCGTTCTAACAGTAATACTAACCACATTATAAACGCATTACAATTTCATTCTTATGGGGAATATGTAGTTTATGGGAAACACTCAGATTTCAAACCTACTTTTTTCTAAGCTCCAATTTCGAGGGCTCAAGTTTGTATGCTTTTTTTTGATATAATGAATTTTAACATTTCATTAATGCAATTGTTAGATTAGAATCATCACCTAGAGTCCAAGTCGCTCTTGAAAGATCTCTTCCATTAAGGACGTGGGTCATCTAATAAGTTCAGTTGACATAAAATATCAATCCCGCGAAAATGAACCACGATATCACACGTGATTTTAGACAACAACATTTTTCAACCACTTCCCATAAATTACATATCAGCCATTCATACGATATTTAAATCATAGGAACCTTCAAGATTTTAGAACGCACTTTAATATTTATGAACGTTTCTGACTATTAGCTGAAAATTCAGATATCTGGTTATGCTAACAAACAGTACTTTTGATATTTCGGTATTGACGATGAAAACCCCTCAACAACTTTAAGAAAAAGTTATTGTATATGATAATTTTGAGATATGCATGAGGAAAATGATTGCAACATTAAAGTCAAAGACAAGCATCGCGCGTTTTAATCAACGGGTTCATAATATTGAAGTACAGTTTTGAAGAATATAGTTTCAGTAGATCCAGAAACTATAATAGTTTAGAAAGAATGTTTCCAGGTTGTGTTATTTCTAAATTCGAGAACCACAACTGATCGGTACAATTGAAACAAGATCTATCTTGTGAACGTTCTATAAAGCTACTTAAAGTCAAAACAGTTTTCCAATCGACCGCAACGTTTAGCAGAATTTTTACTTTACTTGAAGGCTTTATAATAGTCCCAAAAAAGAGAAGGAAAATAATTGATGTATTATTTACAAAATAAAATTTCCATCTTACCTCAAGAAATTTCGGTATGATTTTTGAATAAAAGTTTAAAGATTAATCATTTATTCTACCGGGCCTGTATATGAACGAATTTTGCTGCATTCAAGCATATACTTCGCTACGGTCTTATCGTTAGTCTTAGTACTTGTTACGCAGAGGACAAATGCAACTGAGCACAAGCCTACGGGAGATGAAGTGGGAGTCGAGGATGACTGACTTCCATGTTAACGAGAATAAGACAAAATATATGCTCATGTCTAGAGATGGACTGGGATGCAGCAACTGTTATTATCGGCGAATATTCGTTTGTAAACGTGGGATCCCTCTTAGCGCAACAACGAGCTGGAAATTTATAAAACGCTCTTGCGTCCACTGGTTAAGTACGCCTATAAGACATGGGTACTAGCCAAGAAGGAAGAGTGACACCTGGACAAGTGGGAGAAAAAAATTCTCGGACGAATTTATGGCCTTACTCGGGATGGTGTTTTGTGGCAGATCGGCAAAAACGAAGGAGCATACCAATGATGTGATAAGCCACCCCTTATAATCGAAGTCAGGAATGCCAGACTTAAATGGCTTGGCCATATGGAGGGAATGTTGAAAGAGTGGGCGTTAAGAAGAGCATACCGACAGAAACCTGGGGGTCGACACTTCCTGGACGACCGTGCAAATGGAGCCGTCGAACACTTTACAGGGAGGACTGAAGAGGAGTAGTGAAAAAAGCAGAGGTTCAGAACGATTTTCAAACATGCTTAATGCATAAATTTCCCCAATCCAAACAAATCTTAGGTAGAAACAATATTATTAGGTCAATCAATCACAATCACATATTTTTTCTTTCAATATTCACCTTGGAAGTGATATTTTTCTTGATAGAGCAATACATACGCCTGGTTTCACAATCAACTTAGTCATCCAATTCTTCTAACTCATTATGAAATTACTGCAGAATGTGAATGATGTTCGAAACAAACAAAACTGTCATGAATAATAGTTATTAAAACATTATGACAACTGGAATTGCGCAGCATATGATATACGTTTTGAGTATGGACAGAAAAAGAGACCCAGCCAAAAGAGAGCATCCCAGCCATATCATTTAAGACGTGCTCATGTTACACATGGAAAAGAAAAATGAAAACAGTAAAACGAAGCTTTGATGGGATCAAACATTTTTTAGAATTTGTGATCATGTAGATTATTGTTAACTATGTATCCATTTTTTTTTAATATTCCGCTATATTATTGAATAGCTCAATTAGTTACAAGTAGGTAAGTTTCTTGAGCCTTCTTGCCCTCGTCAAAAAGTTGTCAAAATAGGCAAATAAGATTTACAGTTTTATTCCCGAAGTTATTACATTTCTGAAATTCCTTTAGACGGGATAATCGTCTAACATAGATAAAACCCATAGAAAATGTGCTGATTAAATTACCAACCTCACTTGTTTCGACGATCCAAACAGAAATGCTGAAAAACACCAATAAATTCATTGATGTTCAACAATATTTTATGTTAAAAAATTATTTTAGTTAAAACGAAGGTAGAAATGAATTATGAAATGAAAAAGTAAAAAGTAAGTTCTGCTTGTTGATTAAGAAACCGGGAGTTTACACTGACGATAAAAATAGTAACCTCCATATCAAATCAGGATTTCCAAATTGTATTCCTTCATTTTAAATGAAAGAAAATCAATCACAATTAAAAAGAACCGATGAATAAATATCATATCGGGCAGTCTTATTAATTTCTTACAAGATAAAACAATTAATAATTTAAAGTAAAAATTGTATGTTAAAGGGTTAAAAATATTCAAGTTAGGTTAATTGGTGGCAGATTTAAATAGAAATCGATTCTAATTATATAATATTAATCCAACTTGAAGGTTTGTTATTAGTTTTAAAAACCAATAAAACTACTATAAATACATTTCTAGTTATAAACAGTATTAAATATAAATAGAAAAGAAAAAACATCTAATTACCAAATAGTTAACTACTACTAATTAACAAGGAACTATATCGTATAAATAAAAAAAATGAATTAAAAAAAATAAATGATAAAAAATTAGTATTAAGACGTTAACTCTTCTAATAATTCCTCAGTAGAACGTTGTTCTATTCGAAATTTTTCCATATATTCCTTAGGAACGGTCCATTCAAGTAATATTTGTACATTCTTTTTCAATTTATCGGCAATAGAAATATCGCAGTCTGTGCAAGGATCACGTCCAGCGCTTTGTATTGACTCAATCAATACGTCATCAATTAATCGTTTATTAAAACCCAATTTTTCCAATCTCTCCGGATCCGAGATTTTTTTCAATAAAATGGCAAGTAAAAATCTCATCCTTTCAATCGCCATCGGAGGTTCAATCGGTTTACTAACCGGATTCGATTCAATCTTTGGCAGTTTTTGATACATTTTACAACTTCCGTAATGATTTTCCATTTCGATTTTAGTTTTATAATAACCTTTACAATAAGCACAAACGTAAGGTTTATTCGTTTTATGAATACAGAGCATGTGTTTTTTTAAATGAGGCAATTGAGCGAATGCTATGTTTTCACACAAAACGCATTTAAACGGTTTCTCACCGGTGTGTCTACGAGTATGTAATTTTAATGCCGTTGAATGAGCGAATGCTTTCCAACAAACTTGACATCGATATGGTTTTTCACCACTGTGAATTCTTTGATGGACTGTTAATTGCGATCTTTGCGCAAATCTTGCGCCGCAATGAGCACAACCGTGAGGTTTATCTTTTTTGTGCGTTCTCATATGTTGAGGCAAATGCCCCTTCAGATCTTTGTTACATATTTTACAATGAAATTGTTTCAGATTCTGGTGGAAACAATCCAAATGTTTTTTTAGCGCGTCTCGACGGAAAAACGATTTTCCGCATATATCACAAACGTAATCTCGTATTTCTTTGTGCCTTTTTGTGTGTAATTTTAGATTGGCGGAACATGTAAACGTCGCATTACATTCTTCGCATTGATATGGTTTTATACCCGAATGCGAACGTTTATGTTGAACCAATTGGCCGCCTCTTGCGAATGTTTTATCGCACATATCACAAGAGTACGGTTTGTGTCCGGTGTGAACTCTTAGATGTAATCTTAATCTTTCTTTTATAGGGAAGGCTTTTTCACAAAAATTACATATGTAAATTTCACTACTTTGTAAACCTGGAGAATGTTGCGAAGCGATATGATTTTTAAGTGAACCAGCCTGCCTAAAACCTCTATTACACTCATTACAAACGTAGGGGCGTTCATTTGTGTGAATACGATAATGTTTTCTTAGGTCATTGTTGCCCAAAAATTTTTTATTACAAATTTCGCATTTATATTTGCGTTCTTTGGCTTTAGCGTAAGTCATTGGTGTTTAATTTTTTTTTTAATTATTTGGTAATATTTTTGATTTTGACTAGAATATTATTGCACCGTAACCGGTGAATTTTTATTTTATTACATGCAACCCACTACCTTTTTTTATTTTTATGTTTTGATTTAATTGAAATTGTGCAATATCCCAATCACCAAGAAAGTTAGTGTGTTTGTTATTTAAATCTACTGTGAAGGTCCATTGTATGCCCACCTGCAAGAGTTAAAAAGCTAATCTATAATTGACCACACCATATAAATTGTGAAAAACAACTAAATATATGTGCTTTAAAGAAAGGAATTTGAAAATGTTCACAACCAAAACCTTTTCTATTTATCCCGAGATATCTGTTTAAAAAAATCTTTTTATGATTATACAGAATGATCTAGTTACGATATTAATTCTGGCTTATTCTTCAATTCTATATTCAATAAAATATCGTAATGTTTAAATACATGCTAACGGATACATCAATGTAAAAATAAAATCTACCCAAAATATCATGAAAAACAATGTTATTTATTAACACGTACTACCAAAGATGTTTCCAGGTACGTTAGTAACTTTGTAATTGAGAGGCTAGTATTGTTAATTTTTTTCCGGATCATATTGGCATTATAATTCGATGATGGTAGAAACTACCCAAATCACTTTTGAATGTCTTAAGTTTTAGGCATTATCCACGACGTTATTATGTTAACGATATATGCTTCAATGGATGTTCATTATCGATAGATTTTATCATTTGCTGTAACGCGAACATTTCCCTTGAATGCAATGGAATTCCATACTTATAGTATCAAGTTCTATTGCTAATATTGCAAGCAATGCGATTTTTCTCCAAACAAGGAATCTTTGGTAATGCCAGGAATTTCAATGGTTTACTATTCCAATGAGATTATACGTTTATATTAATACTCTTTCGATTGATTGAAACAATATTGGAAGTGGCGGAGGAAACATGCGGCCAAAGATAGTAAGACAAGGGAGATAATATGAAACGAGAGCGTAAAAGGAACGCTCAAAAGGAAAGGTCAAAGAACAGAAAGAAGCCTGGGCAAAATATTTTTTTATTTTATTTATTATTCGGGATACACACAGGGAGGAACGTCAATCAAGTATCCTCTAACAAAATAATATTTATATGAATTTATAAACAAAAGAAAACTAATATTAATAATAAAGTTAACAAAATCAATAACAAACGCTCAAATTCCGTACATATTTCTTGAAAACAAGAGGCGAGACAATAAATAAATCAAAATTGTTACAATGGGTATTGAAAAAGTGCATGAAACGTAATAAGGGTGAGTACGCATAGGCTAAAGAGGCAGGTAGATAGAAAAGTGCATTAAAGAGAACCTCCCTCATATCCCCCATATATCCCATCATATCAGCAACACCTCGGCAACAATTTAAAGATGTGATTCCTAAAACCAAACAACGCTGGGCATAAGAACAAACTTTCTTTGCAGGCCCTCCAAACGATCAATATATACAGCGTATGAGGGATTCCAAACCACCGAAGCGAAATTCAAAACACTACCAACATACGCTGCATACAAGGAAATGATGTCTGGATATTGGTAAAAGGACGTGATACTCGAATAATAAATCCCATTTTTTTTGAGGCTTCAGACATAACCGTATCAACATGACCGCAATAGAGCAATTTTGAATGAAGAACAACGCCCAGGTCCCTAATTTGGGAAGTAACATTTACCGAATGTCAAAATTTATATGATATCTCTTTCTGCTGAATATGATATTATAGCACTTATCGTAATTCAGAAACAAGTAATTTTTTAAGCAATATTCTTCCAGGCGTTCCAGATCCTGCTGAACTGTTAAACAGTCAGATATGGATCCAATTCCAGAAAAGATCTTACAATCATCCACGTACAGCAAAAAATTGGAATGAAGAAAGCACTCATTAATATCATTGATATAAACCAAAAACAAAATCGGCCCAAGGTAACTACCCTGTGGTACGTGCGACGTAACGGACTTAAAATTAGAAACACCTTAACTGCTTGACGTCTGTTCGAAATGTAAGAAGCAAGCCATTCGACAAGTTGAACTTGGCGAGTTTTTCCAAGAGAATAGAATGATGTATCCTCAGTGATAGGCGCTGGGTAAATACCCAACGGGTAGGTAAATAGAACTTGGTAATACCTACAAGGTGTAGGGTGGTATATACCTATTTGGGGAATATTGTACTTATACCGGGTATATACCAGGAATTTACTATCTGGTCGCCCAATCGTCTTATAAAATTAGGGTATTCCCCTAAATCGCGCCGTCGTCGCGTCGTGTTTTCGATAAAATTTAGTGGTTACCATTCGTTCATTTGTTGAGTTGACTGGTGGTTTTGTAACCATTTATATACGTTTGATGTTTGATTCTTTAGTAGTTTTGTTGTTGTGGCTGGGGTATTAATGGTATTATAGAGGTAAGTGCTTATTAATTATTTGTTACTAAAACAATAAATGTACATTTTTGTTGCAAATACGGGGTATCTTCGTTATTATTAGAGACAAAGCGATGCGTGTTTCGCATCCCATTGTTAATTTTTCGTAAAACGAAAATACCACTAAAAAAATCATAGCGTTCCTAGTTTTTGAAATACAAGGAAATTTTGAAACTATTAGGCTTAGCGTAAAGGTAAAAATGGTTATATAATTTTTTTTATTGTTATCCATTACAGAAATCTATATAATATGGGAAAGCCAAGGCATAAAATTCGAGATTTGTTCGATGAAGAAAAAGACAAATCAGTAGATTGTAAATACTGCAAAGCTAAATATAATTCATCAACCTAAACAAAATGGAGAATCATATTTTAAAGTGTATAAAATGTCCAAATGGATGTAAAGACCCAATTTAAAGCAGATCTATCTTTGGCTTCATCATCATCATCAATGACCTCAATAATGTCTCAACAGCAGCAAGAATGTGCCCCGCCCACGCGATTGAAACAATTTGCAGTCTCAATAAATCCTACAGAAAACGTAAGTGTTTGGCAATAGTTTCCTAAATAACATAGTTCATTATTATATTGTTAGGAAAACTTGAATAGTAAGCTGGCCACAGCTATTTTTGCGTCCGGAACACCCTTCTCCATCGTAGAGCATCCTCTGTGGGAAAGTTTTTTTAATACATTAAGACTAGCTTACATATTACCTTCACGAAAGTCTATTTCAACAACGTATCTAGATAATCAGTATGCTTTATTAAAACGTGAATTAGAAGTACAAAATTCGGATAACCTTAACCTACAATGCGTTGGGTGGAGCAATGCTAGAAATGAAGCCATCATCAACTTCATAGTAACAAAACCAAAACCTATTTTTGTGGATTTTATAAATACTACCGCAGAATATTTGTTTGAAAAATTAAGCGAAGTGATTGAAAAATATGGACTTGAAAAATTTTTCAGTGTGATGGGGAACAACGCTGCAAATATGCAAAAATCTTTTCAACATATCCAAGAAAAATACACTCATATAATTCCTTTAGGATGTCTAGCTCACACTTTTCATTTACTTTACCGGGATATACTAAACTGTAACTCTATTTAGGAATTTATGGACAATTTAACTGCAATTGCAAAAAAGATCAAAAGCGTGCAAGTTTTGAATGCTTTATTCATACAAATTAATAAAGACAGGAATCTGAATATTTTGTTAAAATTGCCTCAACGTGTTACTCTGGCCTGTCTCGAGTCTTTTAAAAAATCAAAAATGTTTCTTCAGCATCTGGCTCTAAAAGCAGAGTCATCTGAAGTGCTACCAGCAGATATGAAAAGAAACTTATTAGATGATCTAACATTTTGGCCTCAAATTGATACGATTATTCGAATACTAAAACCAATTGTGGAATGTTTAGAAAAATTTCAAACACAAGACTGTATTCTTCACAAGGTTTATGAATATATATCAGATGTTGAAGTAACTTTAAGTGAAAATCTTTCCGAAAGTGGCATGAATATGAATGAAATGAGATCGCTAATATTTTGAAGTCATTTGATAAGAGAAAAGAGCGTGCTTTAAAGCCACTCCACTTTGCACCTGCATTACTAGATCCATTAAATCAGGGTTCAAAACTTACTCCAGAACAACAAATTGATGCAATAGAGTTCATATATAAAGTATCCGCGGATATGAACGTTGATTCTCTGATTCTCCAAATTGAGGTTGAAGGTTAAAGTATAATTTATTGTAAATTAATTTTCAAAAACTTTCAAAATAATGGAAAGAAGCGAAGTTGGACAATAGTTATTGACAAGGTGTTTCTTACCGGATTTGAAGATCGGTATTATATCGGCTTTTTTCCATTCTGTTGGCAATATGGAGAATTTCATAGAATGAGAGAAAATATGAAATAAGGGTGCAGCAAGCTCCTCCGCGCAGAGGACGATGAGCTTACCCGGCAGACCGTCCAGACCAGGACCTAATTTAGGGTTAACATGACTTAGAAGAGATGCTACATCCTGCTGTGAAAACCAGCGACATGTTTAACCAAGAAAAGCACCAGAGAAATAACGATTATCAAGTTTCCCGTCAATATATACAGAAAAGAAGTACTCGGAGGATAGTTCAGAGATTTGTTGCCCAATATCAGCTAAATTGCCATCATATTCCATCTCAGCCGGAATGCCACCCCATTGATATAGAAATAAAGCCAGTAGAATATATTATTACTAAATTAATAAAACTTTAATAGGAAATAAAAGAGGTAATACAGAAAAACTATTGAAATAAATTTCAGGGTGTCTAGAAATATTTAATAACAATCTCAATTATACAGGAAACAGTTAAGTTAAGAAATACTTTATTAGAAATAATACTGCATTAAGCTTTAGAAAATTTGTTCGAAGTTACGACACTCTTTCGAACTCTTCGAAATAGCTGAGGACGTTCACGAATATCATCAAACGCTAGAATAATTCGAGCCACTAACTCTTCGTCTGTATTGACAGTGTTCCATAAACTAGTGATTTAATATGACCCAAATTCAAAAATCAACTTGAGTCATATCTGGTGAACGTGCAGGCAAAGAAATCGCCCCCCCCCCTTTTCCGCTCCATCTGGTAAGAACATGACTATACCAAATATCTGCCAGGCAAATATTTTCATTTAAGTGTCTTCGATCATTTCTGAAAATTAGAAATAGTTATTCTATGATACCTCTGTATATGCCAACCCTAACAA